CAGGAGAGTGGGGGTGGCGAGCGGTAGCCCGGGAAACCGAGCCCTAGAGGAACGTCTGGGCTCTGGCCCTCTTTCTCTGTGTGTGTGTGTGTGTATATATGTACACACATACACACGCGCGCGTGTATGTGTATTTATATGTTTAGCAGCTGAGATCCGGCAAACTAGGACGCCAGCGGTTTGTAAGTCAAAGGATGAAGGTGTGGAACGAGGGGAGGAAGGGAGGCTCCAGAGCAGCCCGCGGCCTGGTTGCTCGGCACGGCTCGAAGGGACGGAGCCGTTCAGGTTTGGCTGGTCTGGCTTGGCCGCGGTTGTTTTGCTGGAGCCAGTGCGGAAACTGACAGCCCTGTGAATCACTGCTTCTGCTCAGCTACTGAGATGTCTAATGAGGTAATCCAGGAGAAGTCGCTCGCTGCCGCCGCGGCGTCCTTGGATGGGAAGGCGCCTGTGGAGAGGGCAGCCATAATCCACCAACACATCGGCCGCAGGGAGATGACGGATATGATCATTGAGACGATAAAGCCAGATCCAGGTACCTTCGGCACGCTCTTGTGTGCCCTAGTGCCAAGCAGAAGGGCCAAAAATACATTTCTCGAGGGCGCACGGGACTGTTGAGATAGGCGGAGGAGGGCTATTAGACTGAGCTTATGTGTACTTGGTAGCGTGAGGTCACTCCTCTCTGCTTAATAAGCAGCTGTCGGATTAAGGGCTGATGAGAGCTACCTTCTGGGGTCAGTTGGCATCAAAGAAATGTGGGACCCTTTTTTCCAAAGTCACAGGCATGAGCTTTGTGAGCTTCTTTGCAAAGCTCAATTTCAAGCAATTCCTGAAGTCTGATAATTAATGTTTTATGACCACAGGAGTCAATAAGACTGTAAGCAAATGGTCAGAAATTAGTACTTCTCTCTGGATAACATTGTTACTGGCAGTGTCATGTCTTCTATACAGCACAGCTCAGAACGTTGAGCTGGCCTTCTGAGCAGCTTTTCTGGATTCAAAATCTTCATGGCCTGTTATTAGACTGATAAAACATTTCTAAGAAATTTTCTGCCATTCTTTTGCCCATGGTCCCAAATCAGTTCTCTTGACTTTTTATGAAAAAAAACCCTAAATGCATAAATATGAATTGCATTTTGGAAGTATCCAGTTTCTAACTTGCATGTTTTCTGATTTATGAAAAAGATGAGGTGAAAGTGATGATGGAAAAAGGCAGCACAGCTGAGGCTTCCTCCACTGAGGATTGCAGTAAACATGACAGCCAAAGTGGAGGCATTGGGACTACGCCAGATTCTCCATCGAAGCAGCTACCTGACCAGATTTCCTTTTTCAGTGGGAATCCATCTGTTGAAATAGCTCATGGCATTATGCACCTCTACAAGACAAAGTAAGAAAACCGGTTGTTAATTAATTGCTTGAGGGATCTGGAAAGTTGCCATTACTATGAAATTCCTCTTCCTTTGGGAGGGAAGGGCTGTGGCTGAAGGGCATTTTCTTTGCAATTTGATGGTCCCAAGTGCAATTCCTGGTACCTGGGAAGACCTAGGCCCAGGTGATGGGGAAGGAAACATTGTCTGTGATCTGCTTTTGGTAAGGGAAGATTGTACTGAGTTAGTGTTTAACGCTAGGTGAGGAAGAGCCCTCCAGGTGTCCTGGGTTCCCAGCTGTGGCCATTAACTGTGCTAGCTAGGAATTGTGAATGGCAACCCAAGATATTGGGAGACTAATCCAGGTTGCACACTTCTATATCCACAAAAAATAGCCAAATTTCCTGGGTCCCTGTGTTGCCCTGAATGTATACGGAATGGGTTGAATGATGCTGATGGACTTGGCTCACAGTGGTCTGCTATTTCCGATCTTTCTAAGAGACTTGAGAACAGCCTTCCTGGAATGCAGTCAGAAATGCAGTACTGAGTTATTGATTGCATGCAGGAAGACTCCGTGTGCTTTGTCAATCAATTACAGTCATTCACTTCTGCCGGAAAGCCCCAGGCTATGGCTTTAGTTATACCTCTACTCTTAGAGAGACGTGTTGTGTCGTGGGCATTTTCAGTTGGGCTGCTGTATATCTTTAGATATAGATATATATCTTTACGTGCAAAGCTAACGTTATAGAGTCGAAGCTTCTGAAAGGAGAGTGGACTTGCTGACTAGTCTAATTCTTGCCTTGTGCAGCAAAATGACCTCTTTAAAAGAAGAGGTGCGCCGCAGCGCCATGTTGTGTATTCTCACAGTCCCTGCCACAATGACCAGCCATGACCTCATGAAGTTTGTGGCTTCCTTTTATGATGTCATTGAACACATGAAAATCATCCGAGATTCTACCCCAAACCAGTACATGGTCCTAATCAAGTTCCGAACCCAGGTAACAGCAAAGAGTGACTGCTTTGGGCTGAAGGCAGCTTCCAAACCTTCTGTCTGGTTGCGATCCAGAAATATGTATGCTGTGTGTCTGCTGTTGCAACTTGGGGAAGACCAGAGTCATTTTGACATGGTGTTTTTATTTGTATGTTGCACTTCCTCCTGAAGAAATCCAGGAGGGTTTACAATGAAATAGGGTAACAACGTCTTAAATAAAACTATTGAAAAGCCAATGAAGCCAGTTCTGGGGATTCCCCACCTTTGGTCCTGAATGGGGTTGCACTCTTGTGCCCCTGAATGCTTTGGGGGAGCGATAGCTTGCAGGAAAGTAGGGTTCTTATTGCTAGCTTATCTTCTCCAGAGATGCTCTGCCTGATATCCAGTGGCAGAATAAAAGTGGCTGGCTTTCTGTTTCTGGGGTAACTGGAAATAGCATCAGCCAAACGCCGTTGTCAGCAGCATGGTGTGATTTTGTCTATTTGTCTTGAAACCATGGCTTGCTCAGATTGCAAAAAGAAAAATCTTACCGAGCAGGCAAAACTTAATTAGCTGCTGGCTAAGTTCTCTAAAGTGAAAATGGATAATTGCAGCAGACCAGGAATTGTGCCCAGAAGGCTTTCATCTTCAGAAATGAAGATGTTACTGGTAACGGGACTGGAAACTTCCGAAACAAATGCTTCTTGATTTTGAGAGGGGCAGGGGCTGTGTGAGTACCACTGGCCTGGGAAGTGCTCTTTTTATATGAGCCCCGATAGATGGGGGTGGGAAACCAGCCTCTGACCAATTCTTCACTGTAGCAATTTCTGACCCCCCAAGTTGCTCTCCTTTTCCCCTTTGGCTTCTCTGCAGGCAGATGCAGACAGCTTCTACATGGCTTGCAACGGTCGGCAGTTTAATTCCATAGAAGAGGATGTTTGCCAACTAGTCTATGTGGAAAGGGCAGAGGTCTTCAAGTCGGAAGATGTGAGTGGTCTCTTGTTCTCCGTTTCCTTTCTAGGGCGTGAGGTCTCTCCCCATTTAGCAATCTTCCTGTGCTAAATGCAGCCAAAGGACAAGCAAGGCCAGCGGGAGCCATGGTTGGGATAACATGGTGATAAGGCTCCACCGCCCTTTGTGACACTCCAAGGATGCTTAGTTGTGTCCTAGGATGCCTAGCCGATCCGCTTGCGGAGGATTCCAATGGCTCTTTATGGCTAAAGGGGAGGTTGACTGGCTAGGATGTGCTCTCCTCCTGCAGGGGGCCAGCCTCCCCGTCATGGACCTGACAGAGCTCCCAAAATGCACCGTCTGCTTGGAGAGGATGGATGAGTCTGTCAACGGGATTCTCACCACGGTCTGCAATCACAGCTTCCACAGTCAGTGTCTGCAGCGGTGGGAGGACACCACGTAAGATTTTCATGGGGGTGGAAGGGTGAAGAAGAGCAGTTGTGGTAGAGGTCCGGAGGTTCAAAGCAGAGCAACCTTGTTTGGAGTCCTCAGGACTTTCTCTTTTCTCACTTGCCCAGGTGCCCTGTATGCAGGTATTGCCAGACACCAGAACCTGTGGAGGAAAACAAGTGCTTTGAGTGTGGAGTCCAAGAAGTGAGTGAGTGAGTGAGTCTGGAGCCATGTCTCTTTAGAAATCAGTTCTGCTGCTCAGCAGGTGTTGCTTTTTCAGAAGTAGGAGGATTTGTTTTTCTGCCCTGTACTTCAGCTGTATTGCTCCTTCTCTCACACAGAACCTTTGGATATGCCTCATCTGTGGGCACATTGGATGTGGGCGTTACGTGAGTCGGCACGCATACAAGCACTTTGAGGAGACGCAGCACACCTATGCCATGCAGCTGACCAATCACAGGGTCTGGGACTACGCAGGGGGTAAGCCCTGTTCCTTCGGCTGCTGAGCAGCGCCTCAGGATGGGTGCTTAACTTTGCAAGACCCTTTCCTTAGGGAGCTGTTTTCACTAGGAAAGATCTTTGGCTCATCTAGTTTGCTATAATCGGAAAGGGTGCAGTTTTTGAGAGCAAGAGATCAAGTCTTGGAGCCCTTGTGCGGGGAGAAGGATCCGGTTAGGCTGACTAGTTACGGGCTAGCAAGGTCAGCTCTTTAACTCTTGGCTCTTGAAGGGTGAGACTGAAAGGAGCTGAGAGCTCACCTTGCAAAGATCTCGGTAAGGTGGATCTTCTTCTCCCGTAACACACCTGAAGGTGGGCAGAGGTGGAGGTGACACCTGAGCTGTTTCTTCTGTGATCCAGATTCAGCACTTCCTGGATTTGCCGTAATGCTGAATCCATGGGAGCTTTGTGTTTTCTCTAGACAATTACGTTCACCGTCTGGTGGCCAGCAAAACAGATGGGAAGCTGGTTCAGTATGAATGCGAGGGGGATGTGTGTCAAGAAGAGAAAATTGATGCCTTACAACTAGAGGTAAGCGTGTATTGCTCTTCCTTAGTTTTTGGACGTTTTCATGGCTAACTTAATGGATGCCTTGTAGAATGTTTCTCAGTCTAGGGCTGTCTTCTGAATGGAGTGGATTACTAATTGTGTTGTTACCAGGATGGATAACTTAAAATTGGGTGGGCAATAAGACTTGCCTTAAGGACTGAGCATTTTCGAATTGGCCAGCGATTATTAAGGGAACTTGAGGCAGCTGCATCAGATTGGCCAGCACACCTCTTCTTCTCCCTGGCATGTTGCTTCTGGCCTCTTCTGCTTTCGCACATGGCGATCACCACCAGTGTCGTACTCTTGGGCACCATGTTTTAGCATAGTAACCATGCCTTTCAGTGCTGGTCTCAAGAAACGTGCTTTAGCAGGAAGGTGATGCAATTGAAAGGTGCCTGCTAAAGAAATTTGCCTTTCTTGAACGTGATTTGGAGGTGGTGAGATTCTGGGATGGAATTCCAGCTCTCCTCTAGAGGAAGGAAGGACAACTTGACCACTTTGTCTCTCGTTTCCTTCTGAACGCAGTATTCCTACCTGCTAACGAGTCAATTGGAGTCCCAGCGCATCTATTGGGAGAACAAAATAGTCCGAATAGAAAAGGATACAGCTGAAGAAGTAAGTTCCTTCTGAGGTCAACAGTACATTTTTCCCGTGGATAGCAAAAACCAGGATTTTAGTGTATACTGCTGCAGTGGGATACCTGCACGTGTCAGGTTGGGCTCCTTCCATTTCTGAATGCATGAATTATTTCAGATGGAGCCACCCATTTGAGAAGCCCCTTGTGAAGGGGGCCAGGATCTCAGACAGAGAGTAGAGGTAGCCCAAGCTACTTCAGGGGCTGCTGAGTTTCTCTTCTCTACTCAGCCAGTGTTTCCTCTTCCAAAGCAGAGTAAATCTTTTCTGCTTCAAAGGTAGCTCTGGGAATATTCATCAAAGGAGCCAGTAAACGTGTTGGCTTCCTAACACAAAGTATAACATTTCGCTGCGGTATTTACTGCTAACCCACAAAACGTCCTTGGAAGTATGACATCTGATTGCCCGGGTGATCGTTAATTGGATTCTGGGTGCTCCGAAGCATCCCCTGGCCCTTAAAATGTCTTGTGTTTTTTTCCTTTACAGATCAACAACATGAAGACAAAATTTAAAGAGACTATTGAGAAATGTGACTCACTTGAACACAAACTGAATGACTTACTGAAGGAGAAGCAGTCAGTTGAAAGGAAGTGGGTAACTTTCAGGCTTAGAAGTGGGCGTTCCTAAATAAGTGATTTGTGTGCAAAAATGGGTCTTGCATGTGAATGTGTCTGTAATCCACCCCCACCCCTTTGGATCACCAGGTCTTCATCTTGGTCCAGAATTAGCTTCCTTAGGAGCTGCCTATGCAGCTCTAGAGAGACTCAGTACCTTCCATTGTGTGTGGTCTACTGTCAGGCAATGCCTTGGCAAGACAGCCAGAAATTTCTGCTCCGTTTATCTCAGTAAAGGTTTTTGCTCCTCCTGCCTCAATTTCCCTTCTTCCTGTACATTTCAGATGCACGCAGTTAAGCACCAAGGTGTCCAAGCTCACCAACGAGCTGAAGGAAGAGCAGGAGATGAACAAGTGCTTGCGGGCCAACCAGATCTTGCTCCAGAACAAGCTGAAGGATGAGGAAAAGCTGCTCAAGGAGACTTGCGAGCAAAAGGACCTACAGATCACCGAGATCCAGGAGCAGCTCCGCGACGTCATGTTCTACCTGGAGACACAGCAGAAAATCAACCACTTGCCCGCTGAGACTAGACAGGAAATCCAGGAGGGACAAATTAACATTCCCATGGCCTCTTCAGCTGGTTCGTCCGCAGGAGGTAGTGGGAAGTCTTCCTCCCGGAAGGGGAGAAGCAAAAGGGGCAAGTGAAAAAGTGAGGCGGAGGCGACCGAAGTGACCACTGTTGGCCGCAGGAGGGGTGTCGGGGGCAAAATGGGAGTTGTCTGTTCAGCAAAAATAGGCTTGAAAGTCTAGCCAGGGATCGGTGATCAGTTTCTGGATTCTTTCCTATCCCATTGCACTAACTCGTGGCAACCGACAGCCTTGAAGATGCCTTTTCCTCTGCTAGCTAGCTTGTCTTAGGCAATATGTAGTGGTCTCTAAACCAGCTGCCAGGCTTGGTATACCTCCCCCGTGCTGCATCCTTGGGAACACTGTGTTTCAGCTCTAGGTGTTTTGCTTGAGACCTTCTTTTAAAACAAGCGCAGAAACCAAAACGACGACAGAGCCTTAGGCTTTAGTTCTGCAGCAGCAGGAAGGGCTGTTGCTGTTGCCGCCATCACTTTACATCTTCTGTATTCTGAAAGTTATACTTAAATGTCGGCTTTTCTGACCAGGATGAGGGGGGAGTGCAGTTGGTTGCCTTGGGGAGAGGTGGTTTAGGGCAGGAGGATTGTCAGCTCAGCTCGAAAGGAAGCCTGAAAAGGTGCTGGAGGATATCAGGGCTGCAGTCCTTTGACTGGGGAGCCTGCCAGGGAAATGTGCCTCCCTTTCTTGATAAGCTTTTTGTCCTCATGGTCGTGCTGCAGCAGTGGCCGGGGTTCAGTTCATGTCATCTCCCTCCCTCCCTCCCTCCCTCCCTCGTGTTCTCCCGCCATGCTTGGCCCCTGATGATGCATTATGTGGGGTATTGCCACATCCCGATTCCCATCCTCGCCATTTTGGGCGATTTTCAGCGAAGTGTGTTGGTGCACGCTTGCCTTGTCCCCAGCTCATAGTTCCCTCCCTGTCCCATGCGTGTCCATTGCACGATTCCAGGCACAGCATTCTGCCACAGGAAGGCACTTGAACGTGACGAGTAAACCTCTCTTCTCCTCCCATGCCCTCAGGTCTCTGCTGCTGCGAACCACCTTTTCTCAAAAGGAGGCACGTTTTGGGAAATAGGCGCTGGGGCGTTGGTTCTGCCCGGTTTTGTGCAGGCATCCACAAAGGAAGGACGCAGAGTCCAAAGCATGGGCCTAAAAGCTAACAAAGGGCCTAGCGCAGGCTGGGGAGCTTGGGTCTTTTGGCAAAACACCAGGTTCCCTGGGTGCAGGCTTTGGCTGGGACATTCTTCATAGCAGGGTTGCGCTTAGCAGCCAACGTTAGATCCAGATCCAGCTAAACACCTGGTGAGTTTTAAGAGCATTCAGTTTGCACAGTAACTCGCATCACCCACCGTTCCTTCAGCGCAGGGTCTGGTCCCTCTGGTCCAGGGCCAAGATCCTGTGTCGTTGCTGTTCTGCCTCTTCTAAGCTAGAGTCGAAATCCAGGACTTGTTCTTGGCTTATGAAACTTGGCTTCTTTGGGAGCAGCAAGTCCAGGGGTCAGGTGGGGGGAGGCTGTGCAGTGGGGAGGAGCCAGATTGGACAGATGGAGAAGCTGCGCGCGTGACACTAGCCTGCAGCACCTTGACCTTCCCATTCTTTGCAGTCCCATGGTTTCTGAGCTTCTCGACATAGTGTTTTTCCTAAGTAAAAACCATAGGGCGAAGGCGTTTTAAAATTCAGTGCGCACGCATGGCATAGGGTTGTCCCAGAGAATATGAGCCATGATATCTGTCACGCAGCACCTTCTGAGGCTATTTTTAAAAGGATCCTGATTTTTTTTTGCATTGCATTGCATTGCCTTGATTGTTGCTGTGTTCTCTTTTGCTTCCTTCCTGCCCTCACCAATTTCCCTTGAAATGAGGAGGAAACGAGTGAGCGGCTGCACGATCAGACGTGGAGAGGAGGAAGGTCAGAGTTCAGAATTAAATAGGAGCTGGGTGCACCGAAAAGGATAACTTCAAAAGTACATTTTTATTAGCAAACTTGTTATCCAACCATTGGGGGAGTGTTTCTCAACCTCGGCCACTTTAAGCTGTGCGGAGTTCAACTCCTGGGAGTTGAAGTCCGCACAGCTTAAAGTGGCCAAAGTTGAGAAACACCACATTGGGGTGTGAACGAAGGTCTCCTGTTGTGCTGTTGCTTCAGCCGAGAGGCTCCTACCATAACTGATCAAGATCCAGATAGTTTTTAGAGGGGTTTCCTGTTCTGTGATGTAACTGGAAGATCCCACTTACGTACAAGTAAGAGCCATGTGAAATCCTCCCATTGGCTTAGCTGAGAACCACCTGCCTTTTCCAAGGGTAGCGCATAGCTTGATTGGCACTTATAACACCCATCAGTGTCTACTTCTTAAAAAAAAGATCTGGACTGTAACATCAGCAACGAGACTATATTAAACTGGATAAAAGAGAATCTCTGATATTTGTGCAAAACATGCCTATCGGTTGTAAGAATGCAGCGGACAATGCCACGAAGTCGCCTATTACAGACAAGCTAGGGTTTGCTTAATTATAGTTTATTGGCCTACTCCAGATGGCTGGGCTCATTCAACAGGTTAGAACACAAACCGTAGTTTATAGACACAGTATCGAGGCCCGCCCATTATGCAATTCTTTAGTTACCTGGTCCTCCGTTCTCCTTAACAAGGTTTATTTCTGAGTCTTGTTTCTGAAGAAAGTGAACTTTTTGAAGCAAAGCAAGAAAAACAGAGTTTCTGGCAGGAAAAATCTCCCCTTGTGTGCTTCCAGCTCCATTATAAATCCCAGGGAAGAGTCAAAAATGGGACGGGGGTTCAATTGTGCAGTTGCTGCTGCTACCTTGACTCTTTGGGAGCCCCCCCCATTTGTGTGGATCTGTTTAGCTTCTCTAATTAAGATGGACCGATGGATTTACTGCCCTGACGGATCACTGTACTGTTTCTTTCCTAACCCTCCCGATAAAGATACTTTTGTGAGGAAAGAGAATTTGTATACATACAATGAATGCCAAAGAGGCCGTAAGACAAAGAATACATTGAGTTCGAGCAGCCACTTCCAACGACGGCTCGGCCCTTTGTCACAGCAGAGAGGAAGTAGCGGGGACCGGCCCTTGCTGCTGGGCACCCCGTGCAGTCTTGGCCAGCTGATCCACCAGGCGCGGAGGGACAAGGGTCCTGGGGCAGAGGTTCCCAAAATCACATTCTGATGAAGTCCAGCTATTCCCCAAACTCAGGCTGCCCACGTACTTTGATGTCTTTCAGGGGGGCCGGGTTGGTAATGACCGTTTTAAGCTTTACTCGGAGCAGGACGTTCTTGCTTCGGCTGGTTCACGGGCGTTAAGCCCCGGCCAAGCAAACGCACCAGGGTTTAGTGCGTCGCTGGCCAATAGCCAGCCCGCGTCCAATCCCGTAGTCGTTTCGTTCTTCGAACGGCCATAAGCGACGGAGCCCAGTGGCTTTGCAGATGGGCCGGTGCATCCTCTCCTGTAGGCCGGCCAGGCGACTGGGGAGTCTCTGGGGCTCTGTTCCATTGGGTGACCAATGGAAAGTGCCCCCCTTGCCACTCTGATGGTCCTATCAGTGTTTGTTTCCCCCTCCCTCATGACCCAGCAGAGACTTGGTTTTCACCTTCAGTATCCAAGATCCTTAAGTTTTACCTTAAGTATCTTACGCTGCAGAGTGAGCAAAAACAAGCCTTCCGCTCTCTCTCTCTCTTTGCGCAGTGAGTCGTGCATTGTAAACTCCCCGAAGGCAAGGCCCTCGCCTTTTCCTAACCCCGATCTGTCCGTCTCCCGAAGGCTGGTGGTCTTTCCTTGCCCCAGCCCAGCTTCCTCCAAGCGAGTCACTCCCAATGCGGTTTTTGCAGCTACAGAAACACCCAGAGATCTGGCCCACCCCGTGCCCCCTATTTTGCTGAACATCCAGTTTGTGAATGAGTTCTGGGGAATCACAAGGTTGCTCTTCTCTTTTTTTCCCCCCTCCTCCCTTTGTCATAACCATCGCTGGATATTTGAACGCCTCCTCCTTCCTTCCCTCCAGCAAAACAGGAAGCAAACTCGGTGACACTGACTGAAGAGCCGGGGAAGAGAAACTCTTCTTTTCTTCTGTGAACTCTCTGACTCAAGATGTTGCTCCCGATACTTCCCTGCAGCTTTTCCACCCCACTACCTTCCAGATAAATGAAAACT